AGCAGGGACAGGGAAGATGGTTAAAATTGAGGGGAAGATGGATGCAGCCAAATACAGGACCATTCTGGATGAAAACCTGTTGGAGTCTGCAAAAGACCTGAAACTGGGACGGAGATTTATCTTCCAACAAGACAATGATCCCAAACATACAGCAAAATCTACAAAGGAATGGTTCACAAATAAACGTATCCAGGTGTTTGAATGGCCAAGTCAAAGTCCAGACCTGAATCCAATCGAGAATCTGTGGAAAGAGCTGAAAACTGCTGTTCACAAACGCTCTCCATCCAACCTCACTGAGCTCGAGCTGTTTTGCAAGGAAGAATGGGCAAGAATTTCAGTCTCTCTATGTGCAAAACTGATAGAGACATACCCCAAGCGACTTGCAGCTGTAATCGCAGCAAAAGTTGGCTCTACAAAGTATTAACGCAAGGGGGCCCAATAATTTTGCACGCCCCACTTTTCATTTTTTTATTAGTTAAAATAGTTTCAAAAATCCAATAGATTTCGTTTCACTTCACAATTGTGTCCCACTTGTTGGTGATTCTTCACATAAAATAAAAAAATTATATCTTTATGTTTGAAGCCTGAAATGTGGCAAAAGGTTGAAAAGTTCAAGGGGGCCGAATACTTTCGCAAGGCACTGTATACTGACAGTGACGGAGGAAATAGAAAGATATATTCCTTTAATTCTTCCATCTCTTGGCCTTTGTTTCCTTGTCTATGTAAAATTCACAATCCTTTGTTAACTGAATATTCATTCAAAAAGGCACAAGTGTATTTTTTTTTCAACAGCGGTGGTAACTAACTACATGCATATTTATTCCCTTACTGCTGATTTTTTTTTGCATTCTTCACTAGAATATTCTTGATTGGGTAATTTGTTTTCTTTTCCTTATTTCTCTGATGTATTGTCCTGTTGTATTGTTTTTTATTGGTTCAATTGTGGTGGGGGGGGGGCATTGGTGCTTTTGCTTCAAGTCATAATAATATTGGTGTCACAGACAGAGCAACGCAGAGGGAGATGGTGGTACAGTATTCTGTATTAAAGTGTGATAATGGGCTTCTAAATTCTAAACTGTATTTTCACTAAGATGTTGCTATCTACTGTCAGGTAGACAGTAGATGAGCACCTGACACCCAGGTTTGCTACTTGTTTAATTTATTTCATAAATTAAGTCATTCAACATCCATATACTCATGCAAAAAACACACTGTTCTAAACACACTGCAACTTCATTATAATATGGACATACCTGCAAGCATTACATAACGGTAATAAAGCCGTTTCCCTATAAGATGTATTATTTAGCAACATAACCTAAAGTTATAACAGGGACCCACAGTACACCTGATGATGTCACAACCAATCACCACCCATGCTGATCTGGATTAGAGGTTGCTGGACACACAGTTGTGACAGCTAACTAATCACATGACTAAAACCAGCACAGTCTGACCACAACCATTACAGAGTTAGATGTAGTAATAGTTTTGAAAATGTGAATGTAGATGATGATGAGGATGAAAAGTTATTGGAATCACATTCTATGCCCTTAAGAAATGATGAACTTGTAGTGTTGAGCCTGCAAACTTTAGAATGTTATGACATGATGACACATCCCAACAGGGTTGCTATTCCAGCAACAGAAAAATGAATATAATGAAATAATGACATTTCCAAACTGAAGGAGGTTACTGTCCGATGCTATGAGACATTTTTTAGCACTGCAGCACAATGCTCAAACCCATTCAAGAACATCATTCTCCTTAGTCTGGTCAAGTAAAATGTTTTATATAATTATTGATTATATTGATATGCTGATATTGATTTAGAATTGATATTCTGTTCTGCTCTCTAAGAATACATTTGTGGAATAAAATTATTACTAACATATTAAAAAGAATAATACAGGTTATCAAAAATGTTTTCAAAACACTGTGCACTATATAATGATAATGTCACTAACCTCCCTATTTAATATTATTAAAATGGGAAAAATTCCCCATTATGAGTAATTTCAAAATTCTTTGTACTTTTGTGATCGCAAACCCCAATGTACAACAGGTGTGCATATATTTTTACTGTATATTGACGATGTTCGACTGGGGAGCTGCGAGCTGACTGCATCAGCATGCAATGGCTACAAGGAACATGTAAAGGTTACTTCCACTCTGAAAAATAGAAATAGGAAACATAAAATTCAGCCTGTACTGTTACTGTAGAGAAGGTTTGTTTGGCACACTTTATCATTGTATTAATAAAACTGTAGAATGTTTTCCAGGAATCCATGTGTGTATGTCACTATTGTTTTGATTGAATCCCAGCAGCCGTAAGGTACTCCCTATTTGCTGTCCCAATTTCTATTTGTTTACTGTATCTAAGTTCAAACCATTAAATCGCTACACTGTTATACATAATAGTTAACATGGGAAGCTTTAATAAAACAAAGGGAAAAAAAAAGTTGTTTTCAATGGAAGAGCCAAAAATTTTGTTTTAACTTAAATAACTGTACATACTGTATAACATAATTCAGGTGGGTAGCTGCGTCAGCATGCGTAGGCTGCAAAGGAACAAGTAATAGGTCTATTCCATTCTGAAAAGAGAAGAAAGAAAACACAACGTTTCGGCTGTGGAGCCTCACACCTGAAGAAGGCTCCATGGCCGAAACGTTGTGTTTTCTTTCTTCTCTTTTCAGCATGGAATAAACCTATTACTTGTTCCATATAACATACTGTTGGTCGTCCCTCTGCATGACAATATGTTGTAATACAGGAGGCCAATTAATGCACTTACTGTATAGAATTATTCCCACTGTACATCATCCCACAATAAGTGGGTGTTTCTATCCATTAAAGAATAACTTTCCTTACAAGTACATTCAGGACAAATATAACCTACCTTTCCAATTTCTGCTGAGTCTTTCCAAACTTTTAACACATGACTGCTGTTCTAAGGTACATGCTTAAACCTACTGTACCTGAATAATGGTTGATGTCTTGTGCACTAGAAGAGAAGCTGAAGAACTGCCAACAACTAATCTGAGGAACCTTACAAAGAACTTAATTAGATGTACTGTGAAAAATTAAAAACACAACAAATGTTATTAGTCCCAAAAGCACTTGTTGTATTTTTAATGCCTCTTCGAATACTAGGGTTAGACTGTAATAAGAATACAAATACACACATCTCTGAGAAGTAGAAATGCACATAAATGCAGCTGCTTCTAAAGTCTGACAATCTTATTTTTTTCAGATTCTGTTGAACTATGATTCACAATAGTTTTTGTACATGGAGCTTATACCAGTCATATTCAGCACCAAAAATGTTTTTTAACACCAATACAATGATGACATGCTAGTTGGTAGGCCCTGAAATGATGTATTTAATGCTGTTGGAAATATGAATTTACATAACATCAGAGGTGTACAGTATTGGGATTTATTATGACATAATGAAAAGTAATGTGATCAATTTTCTAATTATCATTAGATCACTGATGTAAATGTTTCATATACATTAATTCATGAAGAGACTACAACAAGATATAAAAACACTGCACATTTATTGTTATGCTAATAACACACATATTTTTATCCAATTTCATATTATTCCCAATACCATTCCTTAATATTCTGTTTACGAAGACAAAGGTTTTTCTAATGATTTCTGTGTGAATGTCTACATAATAATATCATGCACCAAAGGTCTGCTTGTTCTGGCCTTTGGTCAAAAGCTATATCTGACCTCCTAAATATCCATACTGAAATGCAAGATCTAATATGCACATTCACAGTGATTTTTTCATACATTACTGTGAAGACATGTTAAATTAATCTGTGAAATGGTTTTCATGCCATAAAATTGACATATTTTTTAAGCACCATTTCAGAAATGTACATGATTTATTATGCACCTCTTTATACTAATTTAAAGACATTACTGGTGTGTAATTCATAATAGCTTCTACTTCCTAGCACTTAAGCAGTCTAAAGATTAGGAAGGAAACTGTGAAAGCATGCAAGGGCAAAAGCAAATGTAAACAGTGCAAATCCAGAGGGCAAACAGTAAACAGGAGGGTAGTTTTCAGTGCTTAAGGAGTTGCCAGAAAATCCATCTGTGACCACAAGATCAATAAGGAATTAATGTTAACACACTATCTAATTTTACAGCTTGCTCTGAAAAAGCCTTTGAGATTTTGTGGGGATCTTTCCAACTTAATTTAGGTATGGGCAGACTTGGTGACCTTTCCATAATAATTCACTGCACAGTAAATTATTTTTGAGTTTATTGTTATATTCTTAGAAAAAGAACACAATAATGTACCCATAATTTAACAAATTGAATGCACCAGTTAGAAAGGACACCTTATTATGTATCGTTTCTGACTGGAGTAACCAAAGTGAAATTTATCATGCCTAGAGCTGCTTTCTAGTAACCGAATTTATGAATTAAAGCATATTTCTGACCCCTGAGATCTTTAAATACTCTATTTAATGGTTCCTCCTTACTTATTTGTAATCATTGAAAGGATACAGTCGAATGGCTGCTTTTTATCACTTCGGGTAAAAAGTATAACTAGAACTAAGTGAGCCGCCTAAACTCTAATAGGGCGTGTTGAAAGTGGGTAGGAGTAACATGCTGCTCAGCTTTCACTCTCTGAAGATAGTGAAAATCGTACTTCTCATGTAAAATATTTTTACACGTTTCAATGGTATTAGTAGTTTTCACTTGATCAAAAAGGGACGACTTTAAATAGATTTATTTTGTAGCAGCCAAAGTACATTGAATCTGTCCTAGACTACATGGACCCTGAACTAGAAACGAATGCGCTCGTGTGCAGTCAAAAAGCATGGACAGCTATACACCGGCATTGATGAACTTCGTTTTAACATTATCTGTATATAAAAGCAGAGTTTTCATATTTCTTGAAAGGTTTACAGTTAAACTGATTTATGAGAGACCTTGGACTGTGTCTTACAGATGAAAAAGTAATACTCACGAGGCCAGTGCATAGACTGAAGACAGCGATGTATTCACTTTCGGCGTTGACATGCCCATTGAAAAAGCAATGCCTTATATCAGTGGAGTCTTCTTGCGTTTCTGATGAATTGCTACGTTCTGCTCCTAAATGTGTCACGGTGTAGGAGGGCGCTATAAATCCGGAATCAGCAGTTAAATTTAATTGAAAGCGTTGTCCAAAAGCATCAATTCTGTAGTGCGCTCTTGACCCCCAAAGACTCGCATCCGCACTTCTTTTCCTCCTGTAGTGCAGCGTGTGTGGAAACGTTTCTCCGAAATCATTCACACGGAGAGGCGTGATAATTTCGTAGGATGACAGCTGTTTGACGAACTTTTCTAAAAGAAAAATGTTGATGATAATAAAATGCAGTTTAAATGGAACAAAATGTTTGTAGTTGCGTGTTTACACAATAATAGTAATACTGGCAGAAGTTCGATCATCTCTGGGATTTATAATGCCAGGGCTAACATAATTTTAATTTTGAATGTTGTGCACATTGCACTCATAAAAAGATAACAAAATCACCTCTCGGGCTGTTTTAATTGCACATTTTTAATACTCAACCTTCTATACAGCGCCATTGCCCCACTAGCAAACTTTTCCTAGAGTTTGTAAAGCCCCTGAAATACTCCCCCCTCACTCAGCAAGACATTTACCTTGTTTGGGATGCAATCGATATTCCAGTGAATTCCAGATAAGTGCTGAGAGGTGACACAGTAGTCCAGCCAGCCAGACTGTAAACTGCATGATTTCCACAGCAAAGAAGCGAGGGATTTATTCTCCGGCAAAGTACCTTCTCAAACTACCCGGCGTCTCTCCCCCTCCTTTCCCGGCTTGTCAGCACCAACAGGTCGTATGGTCCGTGAAGCCTCTCTGCAGCACAAGCTTCGCAAAGTGCATTCCCCTCATCGCATTACCAAGAAGGCATCCACTACCTTAAGCAAAAACTTACTATTTGCTGTACATTCCAAAGAGTTAGTGACTGTGTGAGCTACTTCTAGGCTACGACGGGACTGGTGCCAACTAAACTTTTCCTTAGCCATCCATAGAACACCCCTGCACCCCTCCAGCCAACATCAAACACTAGGAACGCCCCCGGTCTGCTGCACCAATCACGGGTTAGTGTCTCATTCTCACATATACCACTGAGCACAGCTGAACCGAACGGTTTACGCTCTTCTTTCTGGAGTATAGGATGTCCTTGGTTAGGTTGTAAGCATAACCCCAGTGCCGTTTTACTGCAGAGTCTTTTGAGATGAATTAAACTGGCATAACATCTCCTTTTTCTTAAATGTGCAGTCGGATATACAAATTCTCCGTTCTGCAATTCAGATGCATTCTTTAGTAATCATTACTCATTATTCTAATAATGCTAAGTTCATTACTGTTTTCATATCCTAACAGTGATTCACATATGATACAACGGTGATCACCATCAGTCAGTTTGAGCTTTATTGATATAATTTATATATATAATAAAAGGTTTTCTACCCTGGGGAAAGCTAAGATGATATTATGTCATGGCACATATCCGTAGCAACAGTAGTGGTAATGTTGATTAAAAACAAAAAGAAGGGAGGGATTCTTATATTTGCGAGTGACTCTATATTAAAATATTTTCGTAAAATGGTATTTTGTACAACATTATTTTAATTCACTTTGTTTTATTTTGAAATAATTATCTGCCAGAGAGCTCCAGAGCACATAAACTACTCCTACACATGGAACCCACACGTTATAAATAATTGAGAGTGCCAAAAAATCGTGGACGTGTTTCCATTCCAATGCCTGCAAGTGTCAAATTTTTGTGCCCCCTATCTGGTGCATAAGTAAACTAATTAGACTCGGGTCTCACTCCGCATTACCTCACTGGAAAACTTTGTCATGCTGAAATCAATTCACTCCCAGTTTTTCAAAACCATATCTATCTTGCAACAAAAATATACGTATACCATCTTTCATCACCATTAATTCTTAGTTCTTAACAACGAGGTCCTGGAATTTAAGGAAGATCAACAGACACTGTGTTTAGGTATTTTTGCTGTTGCACGTTACTGTGTTACGATGGAAGAAAAATGAAGATTAACAACTGAAAAAAACAATCTGTAACTAAATAATTAGTATAGGTCATGCTTTCTGAAACCCAAAATAAATTATCGTTTAAACGTATCTGTTTCTCAAGAGCAAAGAACATGTGACAAAATGTCAAAATTATTCACACTACAATAGCTTTCATCTTAGAAAACTACTAATGTTAATCTGTGCATTTTGGCAATGCCAAACTGCCCTTACTGAAACAACCTAGTTTTCAGTGACTTGGTAACAGACATGGTAGCAAAATGTGTTTGGACTGAATCAAGAATTTAGTTTTAGTGTAAACTTATTGTGGCGCTTGTATATAATGATATTCACAGATCGCTAATGCTTTAACTCAAAGTATTAATTGCATGTGTTCAAAATGGAATTTTCTTCTGATTCCATATCAGATAGTACACAATGCTAATCAAAGTTCATCAGTAAGGAGTCTGGGTTCTAAATTTAGGATACAGATGTAGCATAATATTTTAAAGGTCTGTGCATAATACTGGTTAATCTCAATGTTAAGAATATTAACATTTCTTTTCTAGGTGTATCATATTACATTCATAAGGAAAATACGTATATCTGGAGTCTTCTTTATGCGTAGTACAACATATCACAGAATGCATTTATGTTGACATGTTTTTACAGTAATTGATTATGTTTTTATTATCCATACGAGTAAATGGAAAGAAGTATCTTAACATTTGTGAATTTTTAATTTAGTTTAATGTTTTTAGACAATCCCAGAAGGCACGAAACCATAAGTAGTAGGGTTTGAATAAGAAAACATTAAAAGTATAATTGCTGCTGTATTACTCCATTAAGCAGTCTATTTTAAATTTCCTGTTACCTTTATTATATTATATTATCTCATATATTGAGGAGATGTATTGTACATTTTGTTTAATAGTTAACAACGTGTTTTGCATTGATCAATACAATACTAAAGTATTTCCGATATAAAGCATCAAACTGATTGTGTGAAATGACATTTTGTTTAAACAATGTATACAGAAAACATTGTGATAGGAAATTTCTGTTTTAGTTTATGTTTTATTTTTGTATTAAAATGTAGACAAACAGAACAGCTCAAAAATAGTACAAAAATCTAAAGTATTTTTTTGGTATAAAGATATGCTGTATACAACTAAAGACAAGTATATTTGCCTCCTGCAATAAATAAACATCTGGTCCACAGCATAAGCTAAGACACATAACCAGAATCAGTAACACTTCATCTGCAGCATATATATATATATTAAAGTAACAAGTAATAGGTTTATTCCATGCTGAAAAAAAGAAGAAAGAGAACACAAAGTTTTGGCCGTGGAGCCTTCTTCAGGTGTCACCTGAAGAAGGCTCCACGGCCAAAACGATGTGTTCTCTTTCTTCTTTTTTTCAGGATGGAATAAACCTATTACTTGTTCCTTTGCAGGCTAGGCATGCTGACGCAGCTACCCACCTGAACTATATATTAAAGTACTGTATACACATTATGAATTTAACCCTGACCCTTTCCCTGATGTTTTCTGTAATTCTTTGTAGATAAAGTACACTTCTATCATGTTCCATCACAAGCATGAGTAATTATAACTTATATAATGATCTATTTCACTTTCAAACATGTGAAATGTCGTGTCTATCTTATTTATCATATTATGACTTTTATGATTGATTTATATGAAAAAATAAGTAATAATAATTCCTTACACTTTTAGTGCTTTTCTGGCCATTCCACTCAAAGCACTTTACAGGTAATGAGGACTCCTCTCCACCACCAATATGCAGCATCTACCTGGATGATGCGATGGCAGCCATAGTGGCCCAGTATGCTCACCACACACCAGCTATCAATGAGGAGGAGAACAGAGTATTGAAGCCAATTCATAGACAGGGACTATTAGAAGGCCATATTTGATAAAGGCCAATGGAAAATTTGGCCAGGACACTGTGGTAACACCCCTACTCTTTTTGAGAAATGCCCTGGGATTTTTAATGACCACAGAGTCAGGATTACGGTTTTAAAATTAATCGGAAGAATGTGGCAAAGTACAAACAGAAAAATGCCTTCTGAGCCTCAATTTGCATTTGGAGTTATTTCTTGACAAACTGTAAGACAATCACATCAACAGAAATCTCTTTTTTCCTGTGAACTACAGTTCATGTTTAATATCATCAGTGATAGAAGATCAATTATCACCCCCTCTAGCTTCTTGCCCTGATGTGATAGTGTCCCTGCTTAAGACATCTGGATGCTCCATTGGGCTGTTGTGGACATCCAGCATTGCAAGTATCAACTCATAGCTGAACAGTTAATTTATAATTAATCCCCAATGGCCACCCCACTGAGATGGATAAAGATATTCTAATCTGTATTGTATATTATAATGTATATGCAACTGTATGTCAAACTCCTGTTATTATTTATTCCTTAGCAATGGATTTCTCTTGCACATTCATGGCCATATGTGCTTGTTTTTTTCTCTGTGATTTATTTCTGTTTGGATTTGTTTTTATGCAATTAAACTATTCTAGCACAAATAGCTTCTGAAAACATTTCTCTAAACATATTTCCAAGCAGAGTACATTGCAGGAAAATCAACCTGTATTGTAGCCTGAGGTGTATCATTTTCCATCATTTAAATTTAAATTCAATTTGCATGGTAAATTAATTATTTAGAATAACAATAATGAAATATAAAACAATATAGGTAATAAAAGCTAATTTTACTTTTTTAAAGAACACATGTTTGAGTTTGGATAGACAAATTATTTTAGCTGGAAGACCAACAGACCACATCAGAGCTGGAATATATTTGGAAATGTTTTATACTACCTGGTTCTGTCTGTTGTTGACTGAACACATACTCCATAAATGAATTTATAGTTTCAGAGCTATGGACATCCCATCAAGCTGTACCACACTAACTTCAATTTTCCTAGACTATACTCAAAAGTCAAAAATAAAAAATAAAAACCACAGAACTTTCTGTTAAAGAAAAACAAGTAATTCTGGAAATAAAAGAAAAGAAAAAACTTTATCAAAACCATTTTACAGAAATTGGGCACTAAAGTTGGGCACAGAACTAAAGTTCGGATGTTTGAAATATAATGAAAAAGAAATCAACCACAGTTGTAATAATCAATTAGCCAAGAACGGGTCAATCAAGAAAAACAAATCTGCACCGAATAAAAGATTGTCAGAGGTGTCAAATAGTATCTGAAATCAACTGTCAGTGAAATCACTAACAATTAGCATTGTACAAGGATAAACTTACTATATAATTCACACATGGTAGAAGGTTTTGCTTAGAACTGAAATGTAGTTTTGGGGAGTTTTGGAACAAAGTTGTGTGGATAAAAGATATTAAGATAAACCTTTACTTAAACCTTGATGGAAAAGTGTGGGGTAGTCAGGAACTACAGCTCCAAAGAACACCATCTCATCTGCGAAGCAGGCTGGATGTAATGTCTTGGCTTGGGTACGTAATGGCTGCCTCTCAAAGTGCCTCACTCACCTTTATTGATGATGTTAATAATGAAGCATGACAATGGCCCAAAACATACAATCAGTGTAATCAAGGAGAACAAAATGCAGAAAATACCACTTGGCCAAGTCAATTTCCAGATATGAATCCAGCTGAACTTACATTTTACATGCTGAAAATTAAATAGAACTCAGAACACTGCAAAAGTGTTCACAAAACAAGAAATATAATTTGCTATAAATAATATTAAAAACTGAGAAAATGAAATGGGTGATTTTTTTTAGCAAATGTCAAATAGAATTAAAAAAACTAGTGAGATTCCATTTATACTAAAACTGAAGGGATACAAACTCTTATAACGTCTTTTTGAAAATTTGCTTTATGTACTTTATTTAGATCCATGGAAGGAATAAATACCCTAACCTTTCAATATGACCCCTTTTCGGCTAGGTTCACCATACAGAAGAAAAACAGAATATACAAAAAATTAGC